CGACTGTGTATACTTGCGTGTGCATTTGGCCGCAACACCCAATCGTAAATGGTGGGCTCCCCTACTTAGCTTTACGCTACAAACATATAGATCCAAACTCCACAACGACCGCTTCTGCCTAGTTACCATGATCCCACACCGTTGCTCGGCCAAAATGCTCATAAGTTCTTGCTGCACCAATCATAACACATCCCAAATTATCAGCCACCATCGCACGCTCAACCCCTTAACAGTCATACCATCTTCTTCAAGCGATCCAATCTCACATCGTAGTACATGCATACCATGTTGGGCCGAAAGTAGAACTCTTCATAGGAACCTCATCAAAACCATGCAACTGCTAACCTGCTCACAAGAGATAGCCCACCTGTGTAACCTCATATCGACCTCCTCCAACATCATTGTTATGGTTACATCCATCATGAAATCAACTAATCTCCCAGGGTCCACACTGGTCCGCCATCCATAAGAATCCCTTCAATCCTTAACATCACCCGAAGGTCCAACAACGTGTTAGAAACTCAAAGCTGTATTGCACCCAAGACAATGATCGAATACCTCATTTTTTTCTTGCACTCAATCAGGCCCTCCTCGTCACTTTCAAAATTCCTAAGCGTAGAAACCACCTCAGAGATCAACTCCCTTATACCATCAACACTGGAAATGCCGACTTGATCCTGATATCGCAACACACAACCATCCCTGCTACCTTCTTATTAGGTTCCATCTCACCTAAATGGAACCTTCCTATTAGGTTCCATTTAGGCGTGAAATACGTTATTCAAATTTTTTTTTCCTCTCTTTCTTTCAGTTAACATACGATTCTCTCTCAAAATCTCAGTAAAATTTTCTTCAATCTCTCTCTCCTCTCCTTCGAGCAAAATACTTCCTTCTAATCTGGCTGAATTCTTCATTTCCTCTCGTTGGTGTCTAAAATTTAAGCATAGTTAATCTAAAAACATTCAAATTTTTAAGTTATGAATCCCTCAGCTCCAAGTGATTATGTTTCAGAATCTCCACTGCCTGATTACGGTGAAAAACCAGCAACTGGAATCCCTGTGGCAGCAGCGAGCTATCCTCTTAGGCGAATAGATATGTCCATGGCTACGCCGGAGAAGATTTGAGGGCCGAATTTTTTGTTCGTCTCTTTTTTAATTTTAATACAATGTATACAGTATTTTGCTTGGCCAGAAAACGCCATCTCCGATGAACCTTTTTCTCTTTTTTGCTATTTAGTCACATACAATGATACAAATATATTGTATTTTATACAAATTCACTCAAACACATTGTATTTTTGTATAATACATTATTTTTTTGCCTGTATTTATGTATTTTGAAGGTATGTATTTTTTTAATACAACTGAATACACATATATTCATATACAATATGCATGAATACAGGATATAAATATTGAAATATATTGAATACAAACATTGAAATAGAACAGAATATAAACAGTGAATATATTTAATTTTAAAATACAGTGAAATACAGTATAATATACTGAATACAAATAGAAATACAGTGAATACAACCAATAAAATATACTAAATACAACAGTAATAACAGGTATTAGGAATAACTAAAAATACTGTTAATACAAATATATTTGAATACACTGAATACAAAATAGTGAATTCAGTAAATACAAACATTGAATGTTAAAAAATAAATATTAAAACACACTAAATATAACAGTTATATACAACTGAAAAATTATTCTAATTAATTGGGTTGATAATGAGGCGTGTTAGAATTGATTTTGTTGAGTTATATTAGGAGTGTATCATGCTAATTGATCTTATTTCCGTTATTAGACAGCTGGACATACCTATTTTTAAGGTGATTGTCGTTACTGTATTCATGAATACCTTACGCGAATACATGTGAATAAAATCGCGTACAGTTGTAATCCCTTATTTTTTAGGCGACTTTTGCTACTGTATTCATGAATACATTAGCGCGAATACAGCGAATACACTATCGTAACATCTGAATAGTAGTTATAGGAAGTAATTATGTATATGATAGTTATATGAAGTTAATAGGCACTAAACAATAGTGGTTTCTGAAAATTCCTCTTAAATCAATGGCTGCCCACTCTTTAAAATAACAAGTTGGACCATTTTTTTTATTTTATTTTCTTAGTTAATTAATCTCAATAAATCAGATTTTTTTTATTATTAAAATAACTTTGCAACTTAATCGTCTTAGTAATTAATTTTAAACGCTAGGCAACTAGTAGGTGCGCTTAACCTTTTTTTTCACGGACTCGCTTGCGTAGCGTGAGGTTTAACACTTAATAAATTAATTCAATAATCTCAATAGCTTAATTAATTTCCTTTTTAATTAATCTCTTGCTATAATCGCGGATTCGCTTGCGTAGCGCGATAGTGGAATTTAATAATTTCCTAAACTAATTTTTCAAGCGCAAATATTGTAAATTCTCGAAAGTACTACAAATAAATGATTGTCATGATTTCGGATTCGCTTGCGAGGCGTGATTATGATAAGTTAATTAATTTCGTTTCCGTTCATGCATTTGCTTGCGTAACGTGATCATGACAGCGTAATATTCTTTAAGTCATTCTTTAGCAATTCTAATAATTAAGCAATAAAAGTGGACATAGGAAAAACATGAAAATCATATAAAACACAGTTTGTCCAAAAATAATTCAAGCCAAGTATAAGTCAATAAAAGCGACTGTGCTAGAATCATGAGACTCGAGGAATGCCTTACACCTTCTCCCCGGTCAACAGAATTCCTTATCCGAACTTTATTTTCGCAGACCAATAATAAAAGACTTCCTTTGACTAGGGATTCAAATAAAATGTGACTTGGAACACTAAAAATCAATTCCAAGTGGCGACTCTGAATAAAAAAATAATCCAAATTTTAAAAAAATTTACTTTAATTGGAAAAACTCTTTAACCCACAATCCATAACATATATCTTTTGCATGGGTAAAAAGGGGTATTGCAGTGATATAATTGAGAAGCCATAGAAAAAATGGCCAAGACAAAATCCCTATATAAGCACTTATACCGACAGAAGTCTCATTATACCCGAAGTGAAAATAATATTGTATAATCGCTCCCAAAAAATAAGTCTGATCGGTCAAATGTTTAACTTGCTCTTACTCGAATTCAAGAATGGGATTTTTCATTCCTATACACTATTTGAAACCCTATTACGAAAAATATTCATATTTTGGTATTTACCCGACCTAAATACATTCAGTTACAAAATATATATGATCCACCTTAAAAGGCTCTCAATCCATTATTTGTGTCTTCAATCAAGGGATTTAGTTATACCCTTTTCCTTTTTTCTCTCATCTCTCCCCTCTTCTCTCCAGATTGAACTTATATTTAAGGATTTAGGTATAAGAAAACCAAACAATTAAAGTTGCAAAAGTTCCACGAGTAAAACTATACCTTGATACAAAGAAGTGGACAATACAAAAGCCATTGCTGATGACCTCCGCACAACTCACTATACAGAAGTGAACTAGTCCAATATTAGTCATATACCTCTACCCTCAATTATGGACTTTATACAAAATACAGAACTCAAATTACCATAACAATATGCTCATCAAAACTAGAAGCAAGAAAATCATAAACCAGAGATATGGATGGAGGGAAAGGGGTTACAACAAGATATTCTTTAGCATCGAGAGTAGGAGTAAGCTCGCAATAGGAAACGAGCCCAGATATAATCTCAGCATCTAAATCAAGAGTCGTCTCTATCTTGTTACATAGCTCCAGTATTGCTCTTTCCAGCCATTGCCCTCATGATTCCATTCTTTCGCTTTCTCTTATATATTTCTGTCTTCCCGCCTCACTACCGCGTTATATATTATACAACTTATCTACACTTTCATACATTATTTCTACCCAATTATATACAACTACAATATCATACCACTTAAATACAGTTTGTATATAAATTTTATACAATATGTCTTTTGTATATTTTGTATCTGATTTATACATAGTAAAAATAAATTTCATACAACTAATTATATATTATACAACTTATCTACAACTTTCATATATTATTTCTACCTAATTGTATACAACTACAATATTATACAACTTAAATATAATTTTTATACAATATTGTTTAACTTTCATACAATATTTAAATAAAAATGTATATATAAACAATATAATACAATTTTTTTACAATTCTACTACAACTTTACTACAATTTCGTAAATATAATGTATGTAATGTCTTCTTCTTCTTCGAGTTTCAATCTAAAATTCAGCCAAAATCAAGTCTAATCTTCACCAAAACACCCTCAAAATTGAGATATAAACTCCAAATAATATTCTCAATTGTTTGCAACAATACCCAATCCAAACAAATAATGGTTTTTGAAAATTCAAATTCGAATTCAAAGTTTCGAAACTTTTTAATGGCTGTCAATGATGGAATTGTTGCTCTCTTACTGAAATTAGGGCTTATCTTCGAAAGTGTTTTCTTCTTCAATGAAAGTTAAACAAGCAACATGCGTTAATGGAGGTGTGTAGTAGAGTATTTAGAGTTTGAATCTATAAAAATGGAGAGGAATTTTTAAAGAAGAGTGAAAAAATATAGAAGAATTTTTGAAGAACAGT